GGCTCTTGCTCGGACTGACGCTGGTCGCCTCGCGGCACATCTCCTTCACTTGCGCCACAGTCAGGACGCCCTTGCCTTCGGTGTCGTAGTAGCTAAATGCAACAGCCAAAAATGAAGTGTCATTATAGCAAAAAACAATTGCTCAAAACTTACTTGAAAATAATCCTGGCTCGCGACTCCTGATCATTAGTCGTCTCCGGATCCATGGCCGCCAGGCCAATCAGCAACTGCGGAAAGGACAGTGCATCGGCGCCAGCAGAGAAGGCCTTAAAAAGCCGCCCCACCCGCCGGTCCTTCTTCCCCACCAGAGAGAACTTCTCCAGGAAGGCGGCCAGCGAGTTGAGGCTCATAGTCACCGCGGGGTACATATGTCGGACGTAGTCCTCCAGCAGCTCCGTCACCAGCTTCTCTGACCAGTTGATGCTTCGGAGGAGGGCCTGGTCTTCCGCCGCAGTGGGCATCGCCACGCGCCCGTCAATCTCCGCGATAAAGTCCGGCCGGGCGTCGACGCCGGTCAGGTAGCGACAGACGGCCACCACCTCATCGCTCCAGAGGTTGTCGCAGCCGCCACCGGCCACAATCTCCGCCATCTTCAGCCAGCGAATGCGCGAGTTGTCGATGCAGCACTTCACCACCGTTGGTGCTGCTCCATCAGCACCTGCAGTCACAGAAGCCGGCGTCTGCAGCTGCACGTGCTGCATCAATCGGGTGCTGAACTTGACCGAAGAGGAGGAGGAGGAGCTAGAAACTGGCGCCACGCCCCCACTGAGCTGCAGCCTGGTGACGCCCAGCCAGGTGGTGGTGTAGTCAGGCAGAGCGACCGCCTGCGCCTGGTCGACGTCCTCGCCCACCACGGCGTCCGTCTTGAGGATGAGCGCCAGCCCGTCGCGGCTGATCCGCTTCCAGGTGAAGGTCTCCTGCAGGGGAATGAAGGGAAAGTAGGCGTACATGCGCGTCCAGTCGGTGGGCGCGGTGAGGGCGACCGTGCCGTGCCGCTCGCAGCTGACCACCGTCACCAGGCAGTCGTAGGCGACCTGGTCGTAGACGTTGAAGACGTTCGTGCCCAGCCCCTCGGGCATCAGTCGGAAGCGGAGGGCGGCGTCGGCGGGCGCCGGGTGGGCGGCGCCGTGTGCCAGCCCAATGCCGACGCTCTCATTGCTGGAGGTGCTGCTGTTCGACTTGACGACGGTGTGCAGAGAAGAGCTTCCACCTCTTCCGCCCGTTTTGCTCTTGCTGGCCACCACAGGACTAGGGCTGGCTGAGGATGAGGACTGCTTCTTTGCAGTTGAAGTGGTGCCACCCGATGCTTTGGTGCTTTTCGTGCGGCTGCTGTGACTTGGCATTCTTTCAGAGAATTTGACTTGCTGAGTTTGGTGTTCAAGTTGTGGTGAGGGAGTTTGGTTGACGTGGCTTTCAAGTTAAGCTTATGAGCTTATATGCTTTTTCTAAGGTGATTCAAGCTGTTGCTTTTCAAATTCTAGAGATGACTAGTTACACTGTTTTCAAGCGTCAGCCAACTAAATCAAAATGTTTTTAATTTTGTTGCAAATAACAGCTTGAAAGTGAGGTGAGTTTAGCCTAAAGCTTTGGAAAAGGACCAATATGAGTGTAGCCAAGCAACCACAACCAAAACGAAACTATGTACTCTTCTTGCCGCGACTTCCCTTTTTGCTCTTATGTTCCAGAAGGAGAATGCGCAGCTTGCCCGCCAGCGGATCCACCTGCAGGGCGCTGCTCCAGGGCAGACGGCCGGCGTGGTAGAAGTGCGAGCTGAAAAGGGTCAGACAGCGCCGGTCGAAGGTCATCGCGTAGCCCGCCTTGCAGGGGTTGTGCGAGCGGACGAACATGTCGAACTTGTTGGCGCGCATAAAGTCGCCAAAGGCCTCGCCGTTGAAGTAGCTGCAGTTCTCCTTGCTGTCCTTGACGAAGCTGGGGTGGAAAATCTGCTTGCCCTCGAGGTAGAACTCGGGCGAGTTGGCGTAGTTGGTGGGCATGTTCGTGATGATCTACAAGTGGAAAATTATAAAGAAAATGTTTGAAAACAAAACTTTTCCACTTGAGTTACCTCATAGGCTGCCGGTGCCATCTTCTCCACTGGATCCCCCTCCGCCTGCTCCATTTCCTTGCTAGTCAGCACCTCTAAAAGCGTCTTCCCTGCGGGCAGCTGTGGAATGCCCGAGTGCGTGCAGAGGATGCTCTCCTCGATGGTGGCGGCCAGCGGCAGCTGCTGGAAGACGCCGTTCAGCAGCCCCACCACCTTGTCGCCCATCGCCTGGCCGTACTTCTCCGCCAGCTCCCGGCCGAGGTGGGCGACGTTGAAGGGCGCCAGCTCGTACCGGCCGCGCAGCAGATACACCTTATTGGGCATCAGCAGCTTCAGGGCCATCAGGTAGAAGATGCACTCGGTGCCCCAGCTCTGACAGGCGGCGCTGCTGTCGGAGTAGTTCCCTAGGAAAAGGACCGTCTGCGAGAGGGAGGGCACGGCGGGGAAGAGGCAGTGCTCGAGGGCGAAGAGGTCCGCTAGGCTGCCGCGAATGTCGCCGATGACGTGCACTGGGCCGGCGAGGCGAAGCAGCTTCGGCTCCAGGCGCACTATCGTCCGCACCTGAAAGCAGAGCACCTCGATGTAGCGCAGCAGCGTGTCCTGGTCGCCGTCGGAGTCTGCGGAGAGCAGACCTCGGTTGCCTGGAGCTCCCTGAGCAGCATCGCCACCGCCCAGTTTGCCCTCCTTGTCGCGCACCAGCGTGTAGAAGATGTTCGCTACGGAGTTCTCGCGAAAGACATTCTCCAGTGAGTATCGGTGGCGGGTCATCTCCGTCGTCTTCCACTGGCGGACCCAGTCGTCGCAGATGATGCGGGCGTCACCGGTCCGTCGGCTGCTGTCCACCGTCACTGCGTGGCAGCTGTAGTGGTAGCGAAGGGCGGCGCTGTGGAAGGAGCAGAGCGTCTTGCCTCCCGAGGAGGACTTGCTCTTCTTCTTCTTCTTGCCTTGAATGCTGCCCTGGCTGCCGCGGCTCTGAACCGATTTGATGCTCGACTTTCTGCTGCTGCCGTTGCTTCCATTTGAAACGGAGGAGGAGGAGACGCTCTTTGCAACGCCGCTTTTACTCTTGGAGTTTGGCTTATCCGGTTTTTCCTTCGGCTGCTTCGGCGGCTCACCAAAGTACGACCGGCTCCAGCGTAGTAGGCGGTCAGCGCCGGAAAGTGGTCCTGAAGGCTGCTGGCTGAGCTCAATGAAGGAGGCGGTGTCGAGGACCTTGCTTCGGGGAAGAGTTTTCAGCAGTGCAGCGGCCCTGTTCTTGTGCTCTGCCGCCGCCTCTGAGCTGGTGTCCGGCTCCAGGTCGGCGATCAGCTTGGAAAGGTCGGATAAATTTAGGCCACTTTCCTTGTTCTCAGAATCGTAAAATCTGAAGAAGGTCAAAGTTAAAGCAAAAATGTTTTCAAGTGTGTGCGGAAAACCTCTCACCGGATAATAAACTGCGCTCGAGCCACCAACTGCGTGCTCGTCTTCGGGTCCATCACAGCCAGTCCGGCAAGCAGCTTTCTAAAGGTGAGGTGGTCTGCTGAGCAGGAGCCGGCCATGGCGTGGAAGAGCGCACCGATGCGCTCATTGTCGGCCGCCGAGGCCTCGCCGAGCAGCTTGCTCTTTCGGATGAAGCTGCGAAAGGCGAGGGCGCTCATCTCCAGCGCCGGGTACATGTGCTCGAGGTAGGCGCGGTACAACGCCTGCACGTGATGCTCGGTGGTCCAGGCGAGTTGCTGCAGCAGTGGGCTGATTGAAGGATCACCACCGATGCAGCTTTCAAGGGTGAACTCAGTGAGGTAGTGCGGCGGTGGCTTGAAGCTGCGCCGACAGGCGGCCAGCACCTCGCTGCCCCACAGAGCGCCCTTTGTCTGGTTGACGATCTCCAGCCGCTTCACCCATCGAATAGGACTGTTGCCAGTGCTGTTCAGCAGCAGCCCTCCTCCTCCTCCTGCTGGTGGTGGCTTGGACGTTGCCGCCTGTTTGCANGAACTCAGTGAGGTAGTGCGGCGGTGGCTTGAAGCTGCGCCGACAGGCGGCCAGCACCTCGCTGCCCCACAGGGCGCCCTTTGTCTGGTTGACGATCTCCAGCCGCTTCACCCATCGAATGGGACTGTTGCCGGTGCTGTTCAGCAGCAGCCCTCCTCCTCCTCCTCCTGCTGGTGGTGGCTTGGACGTTGCCGCCTGTTTGCAGCACTCATCACCCCCGGCGAGCTTCACCAGCTGCGTCAGCCGGTGGACGCAGCGGCTGACGTTTGACTGTTTGCCGGGCAGCTGTACGCGCACCATCTCCTGCCAGACGGTGCTGTGCTCGGGCAGCACCGGTAAGGTGGGCTCCGTCGGAACGTCCTCGGTTCCCTCTTCTACTCCTTCAGCATTTACAACGGCGTTGGCGTTGCCCAGGACGGTCAGCAGGCCGTCGCGGGTGTTCCGACTCCAGGTGAAGGCGTCCTGCAGCGGGACAAAGGGCCACCAGGAGTAGGGGCGGCGGGTGGTGATGGAGGTAAGTGCCACGGTGTCGTGCTTCTCACAGGTGATGATGAAGACGACGCAGTCGTGCAGACGGGCGTTCTTCTGGTGGTAGCCACTCAGGCCGGGACCTTCGGGCATCAGGCGAAAGCGCAGCGTGTACTCCAGCGCCGTCAGCTTGTTCACCGTGGCGCCGGCATTGGGCGGCACGCCGATGCCCACGCTGACGATGCTGTCGGTTGATTTGACAGAGGTTCGACTGCCCGGACGGCTTCTGCCGCCTCGGGACTTTACGTTGTTCTTTAGATTGGTGACTGAAGGTGAAGAGGCAGTTGTTTTGGAGGATGATTTTGTTGGGCTGTTGATGTTGGGTTTTGAGGCTGACTTTTTTGGCGAACTCATGTTGGTTGGCTGTGTTTGGAAATCAAATAAATGATTCAAAGACTGTCGTATCAATTCTGGCTAGTGTTCATTGTTAAACATGTAAAACCGTTTTATGAAAAAGTTCCTTGATTTTCACAAACCAAAATTCGATTTTTTTTTGCTTTACGTCTTCTGTGAACAGTTTTGCAAATTTTTTTTGAAAAAAATGTAAACAAATCGGCATTTTTCTGGATTTGGTTTTCAAAGATATTTTTAGGTGACAGAATCGAAAAATGCCTTCTAAAGACTGTGCTTGTAAAGGTAAGAGGATTCATTAAAGCTTTTTACCAAGTCAAATAGTTTATTTTTGTATAGGGATTCGTACTTGCTTACTTTGCGAGGATACCATTAAAAGGGACAATCAGTCGGTAAAAGTCCCTTTGGTGGAGTTCATATACTGCTGGAAATGCGGTAATAAAGCATTTTTATCATCAGAATTTGAAGCTCACTTTCTTAATCATGAAACGTCAAATAGTGCCATCAAAGATGATGAGGGCACAGTGCTATCAATTGATGGTGTTTACCTCCAAGAAGAGGTACTGACTAAAGAGGAAGAAAGTCATCTGATCAGCAGCATCGACTCATTTGGCTGGAACGACTCACAGTCAGGTCGGCGGAAACAAGACTTTGGCCCAAAGATTAATTTTAAAAAGAAAAAGATTAACTTTACCTCATTTTATGGCCTGCCGCAGCTTGACATGAAGCTACTGGAGAGGATCAAGAAAGAAAGACTACGAGACGATGCAAATTGCACAAAGTTTAGCACCATCAGTAGCGACGTTCTTGAGAAGGACACTTCTGCGAGTGTTTTGTGCAATTTTAAAACCGTCGAAGTTTGCCATCTTGAATATTGGTTTGCATTACATTGTGTTGATTTCATAAATCCTAAATGTTTTTTTATTACAGCCCTGAACGTGGTTCCTCCATTGACCCTCACTTTGACGATTTTTGGATCTGGGGAGAGCGTCTGGTGACGCTCAATCTGCTTTCCTCAACTGTGATCACACTGACGATAGCTGAAGCAGAGCGGAAACTAGCCCAGCTAAACTACTGCATACGCATCAGCTTACCGCCTCGGTCACTGCTGGTACTGTACGGCGACGCCCGCCACCGCTATGAGCACTCCATTCGCCGGGCGGACATTACCGACCGCCGTCTGGCGATTACCTACCGTGAGCTGCCGGCCACCTTTCTCGACCCAACATCAGACGACTATCAGCGCATTGGAAAGGAGTTTATTAGCAGAGCAGAAGTGCTGCTCATTGAACCACAAAGACCTCAATAAATAGTGCACTGCTAAAAAGTGGCAGTAGAAGTGTGCGACAGTATTCGCGAGTCATTGTCTGCGATGCCCGACTCGCTGCCCATCACATCTATCTCCCCCTCAAGGTTGGACATCATCTTCAAGTCGAGTCCATTGCTGCCACTGCCACTTCCTTCGACCACGCTGCTGCTCATCTGAACGGCGGCCCGCTCCTCTCTAAAGTACGCCTCCCAGACGGTGCTCTCAAAGGGCTGGTAGTTGCGCTGCACCAGGCGACACTGCAGCTGCGTCCGCTCCAGGTTGAGCTGCGCCAGCAACCACTGCACCTTGGACATCTTCGCGCGGAAGGCGCCCAGCCGGCGGAAGAAGGAGAAGTAGAGAAGGAGGAGCAGGGCGACGGCCAGGACGGTGCACGCCTCCATTGGCAGCCGCTTAAGAAGAACGGCCAGCGAGAGGGCGGCCAGTGAGCAGAGGTAGGGCGGAAGGCAGTCGAAGAGAAGTGCCCGTCGAAGGTGCACCTGGTACCGCTCCAGCGCCCACTTGAAGGCCTCAATCACCAGCAGCTTCTGGTCGGTGGCTTTTGCTTGATTTTGGACGTTGCTGGTGCCGTCCACAAAAGGCGGCACCAGCTTTACTTCGATCTGGCCCATGGTGTTGCGCACCGAGGGGGAGGTGCGCTTCTTCGAGAGCTTCTTGCTGCTGGTGCTCGTTTTCCCTTTGCCACTGACTGCCGCCGCCATCATCATTTGCTGCTGCTGCTGAAGCACCCCCGGAGGCTCAATGCAGACGGCCTCTCCCCTTGCCAGTTTGATGTTGACGGCTCGCAGCGAATCCAGTGTGACCATGGCCTCGTGGAAGGTGCCGTCTCCGGCTTCTCTGAAGATGGCACTTGCGTATGACTCAAAGCGGAGCCGGGTTTGCACAAAGTTGATGCGGCAGTGAACTGTGGAGCCAGTTTGGCTTGAAGCAGAGGAGGAGGGCAATTTCGAAGGCAGTTTAGAGGAAAAAGTTGCCTTTTCCTTCTTTGTCTCTGTTTTCTTTGTCTTCACTGAGGAGCTCTCAAGAGTGGCTGTTGAGCAGACTGCGGTTGTCGACGAAGGCGGCGAATCGAGGAACTTGATGAAGAGCTGCTCACTCTTCAGCGAATGGAAGAGCTGCCCATTGCGGAAGGACTTGCTTCGGTTGAGCAGGGCCAGGCCCCCAACGGCAGCAGTGGCCACCTTCTCCGGACGCTCAAATGCGTTCTGCAGGCCGTCGATGAAGGTTTGCAGGACGTCCTGGACGGTCAGTCGGTAAACTGTGTTGGTCACTGGTGCTGCTGCTGCTGAGGCTTTCTTTTTCTTCGAACTTGCCACCACGGCTGGCTTTACCGTACAGTCCACGCCAAAGGTGTCGCCCTGCAGGCGGCCAAAGTGACCGCCGATGATCACCAGCTCGCTGCTGCCATTCTTTGCTGTCAGCGGTTGATCGCTAGTTTCAGCAATTTGTTGCTGTTGTGTTTTGGTGAGCGCCTCGACCAGCTTCGCCAGCTCATAGGCCTGACAGAAGCGAAGCACACTGCGCTCCCAGATCTCCAGATCAGTGGCCGGCGGTGGGCAGAGCCCCTCCTCCTCCTTTTGCCCATCAGCGCTTTCCACAACCTTGAAAAAACTTCGATGGAGCAGGTCACTGTTGAAGAGGTGCACCGTGGTCGTCCGCTGTACGCCGTTCATCGCCACCTGAAGCTGCACGTACTGGACGCCATTGGCCAGGCGGGTTGCCTCGGAGGTGATTCCACCATTGCCAGAACCGCCAAAAACCGCCAAACCAGAACACCAGTTGCTGATCATCGTCGGGAGGAAGGTGCTCAGCTGCAGTGTGCTCAGCACCGGGTCAAACTGCTGCACGGCCACCGAGGCCAGTGGCCACCGGCTGAAGACGGCCAGGCCAGTGTGGTGGACGTCAGATGAGGGGCTGCAGGGAAAAGCTGAACTTGAACTGGATCCTCCCCTAAAGTCCATTCTGCTGTAGTGCGCATGGCGAAGCTTAATCTCCTTGAACAGCTGCAGCAGGTAGACGAACGTCTGCTCGTCCTGCACCTCCTGCAGGAGGACCACATCAAAGCGACTCTCGTAGGCGTACTTGACGATGTCTCGCAGCAGGCTGATCTCCTCAGCGGCAAAGGCGGGCAAGTGGAAATGCTTCTGAGCTCCGTCACCACCTCTTTTCGAGTCAGCCAGCGTCGGCGAGACCAGCATTTCCGTGCCGTTGCCTTTCTTTGATTTGATGTTTTTCTCCTCAGACACCAGCCTGCTCAGCTCGCCGCCGAAGAGGGCCACCCGCAGCCGGTCTCCGGTGATGGCCAGTGAGCGTTTCCACTGACGTAGACGGTAGGCGGTGGCCGCCTTCATTCGGTCCAGTGAACACCAGCCGCAACATCCGGACGTTTTGCTTTGCCGAGCGCTGACGGACCGCTCCAGCGTCAGCCGGGCGCTGGCCAGGCTGAGCACGAGGACGCTGACGCTGCTGTCACTTCGCTGATGATGATGCTGCTGTTGAAGTTGCTGCTTGTTGGTGTGCTTCTTTGTCATCACTAGTTGTGAAAGTAATGGCGACGATTTGGAAAAGAAGCAGCACTTTTCTTTCAAAATCTATGAACGTTTTGGTAGTCAATTTCGAACACTTTTAATTGTATAAACGGTCTTTTTACAAAAATTTTATTACTTTGCAGTCAAATTCAAAAAAGCAGAAAGGTGTAACTTTTAGAAAAAGCACTAACACTACACTGACATTCTACTCTTCTTACTGCTTCTCGTTCCGCCAACGCCGCCTGAACTTTTTCGAGAAAAGGTGCTGCTGCTGTTCATCTGCGACTGTCTGGAGGGCGACTGTCGAACACTGCTTCTGCCGCCGCTGATGTCGGAGAGACCTGACAGGCTCGATCGTCGACCACCACCACTCTTGCGGGACATGCGGCTACTTCGTCTGGAAATACTTTGTCCGGAAGTGCGACTTGATCTGCGACTCACACTTGGAGAAGGGCTGCCTCCGCCTCCTCCCAACGACACACTGCTGCTGCCCCCAATTGACTTGCGACTTTTTCGACTTTTTGACTTGAGACTACTTCTGCTGCTGCTCTTTCTGCTCGACAGACTGCCGAGACTGCTGCTTCGCCTTTTCCCCTTCTTTTTGCCCTTCCTCTTTTTCTTCCTTCGACCCTGAGCATCGCCGAGCATGTTTGCACTTTGAGAGATGCCCTTGCAGGCGCAGTACAGCGCCACACAGATGAGCGTTTGAAGAAGTGCCCCGACCACCAGGACGACAATGGCCTTGGTCTGCGTCAGCTGGAAGGCGATCGGCGGGCGGTAGTTGCAGGCGAGAAAGTTGGCCAGTGGCCAGCTGCTGGTGAGCACCATTTCGCTGCTCTCCTGTCGCCTCAGCTGAGTGACCGTTCCGGTGTTGTCCACCACGTGCAGCGCCTGCTGCTTCACGTCAAAATAGCCCGAGCTGGAGATGGCGGGTCCGGTTAGGCTGGCTCGCCACTGCTCGGGAAGTGGCCTGGAAAAGCTGCTCTGATCAATCAGGTACAGCGCCTGGCAGTGCTCCTGTTCCAGTGAAGAGCATGAATCAGGTAGAGATTTGTTCTTCTTTCCCTTCTTCTTCTTCAACTTCTTTTCGTTTTTCTCTACTTCTGGTACGGTGTGTTCTTCTTCAAAGAAGACCATTCGGTTTGCAAATTTGAGCTCACGGGCATTGACGTAGTTGGCAGATACCTGGCCGGCGTAGCTGAAGGAGATGCCGGTGACGGCGGTCAGCTGGAAGTCGCACAGGTGGTCCGAGGAGACCACTCTGTCGGCGCGAAGATCCACCACTAGGAGGCAGCCGAAGGTGAGTGGCTCGGCCATTGTTTCATTGTCACCACCAGCGCTTTCGCGGTACTCGTACGCAAAGGCCAGGTACTCGTGGTCGTTTGTCGATGCCGAGTTCTGACTGACGCCCTTGACGGCCACCACAAAGGCGGAGGTGACTCGATTGGCGATGGCCTCCACTGCCTGGTAGCTGCCTGGAAGGCGGCTCCTGAAGTGCGCCGGCGGCGTCTGATCCAGGTTTATGTGGTAGGGCGGATTGAGCGAGGGACTGGCCAGCTCCAATGGCACCTCAAACAGCAGCAGGTCAGTGGTCAGCAGGAGGAAGGTGGAGAGCAGTCGGCCGAGGGCGAGAACTTCTGTGGCGCCGCTGGTCAGCCTGGTGCATGCTTCCTTTGATTTGATTGGAAAGAGATTCAGTAGTTTCTTTAACTTTTGATCAATTTACCTTCGCATCAGCACTTCCACTCAGGTCAATCTTCTTGAAGGGCATCGTCTGGAAAGTGGTTTCGCTGCTGGTCGGCTCAGAAGACAGCATCGTTATCAACTTTACGATGATTCCAACTATGAGGATAAAGTGAGTTTGCATTTGTGTCATTTTTTGCACTGGTGAGCTAAAAAACTATTTTGTTTTTAAAATTTTTTCATTTTGTACCGATAAAAACTGTTGAAGCAGAATTTTAGAATTTAGGTTTTTATTTCAACAAATTTCATCAATTNGCTTTTTAGAACTATTTTATTTTTAAAATTTTTTTCATTTTGTACCGGTAAAAACTGTTGAAGCAGAATTTTAGAATTTAGGTTTTTATTTCAACAAATTTCATCAATTTCAATAGATGGCGCGTGCTAGGTGTTTGAGTTTGAATTTGAAAAATCTATTTGTACAAAATGATATCAAATCGCAAATGGTGTGCATCACTTAGTTCCGCGAAAGATAATCTTCTGACAGTACCCGAAATCGTAATAAAGATACAATGTTAAAAAAAGAAAAATCGTTTTCTTTTTTCTTTTTTCTATAATTCGAGTGAACAATTGTCGGCATTTTAACATCAGAACGCATCTTCATCACTTCATCACTTCATTTGTCGAATGGTCAATCTGCTATCTATCTGTCTCGTTCGGGAGTCCCATTCTCTTCCGTTTGCCTCAATGAGTACCCAAACTGAGTGTTGGTGT